TTGGAAAGTACCAAAGTATAATGAGATTTGCGAATACGTATTAGTATAATGCTTAATGAATATAAAAATTTTATTTTCCAAGATAATAAATCAATAACTGTAAAAATCTTCTTTTCTGTTTGGTCGGCTATTTCAATTGATGATTGATTATGGATACTATTCTGGGCCAGTTGTGCTACGAACAGCTAACATCTCAGCATGTCCGAAGACATCACCCGTAAGCAAATTTCACACTTGTAAATATGTACATAGTATATTCGACATAATAGGAGACGAGGGACACGACAATTACGTAGCTAATTACTCGTTTTTAATTTTTGCAGAAGAACAAATTATGTAGTTTTTGAAAATCTCGATCGGAAAGGAAGTAAAGCATTGCCAGTGACGACTCGAGTCAAGACGCGATATGAAGAGGAATAGTTGCGACGATGCGATTCGAGTCGTCACTGAGAGTGCTTTGCTTCATCTTTACCTCAACTGGCTGCCTCTCCTACCCCTGGCGAACACTGCCCGGCTCGACAACTAATTTCTCATTACCCAGTTCCTGGCGTTAGACTACTTTTGTTTACATAAACGAAGTACAAAATTGAGAAAGTGTTTATAACAGATTTTGCAAATTGCGCTATAAAATTCTCATTATAACTTATATTATATTATATTAATATTTAAAAATTAGTTAGATATATTTTTATAACTCTATATAGTATTATCTGAAATAATTGTTATCACACTGTACTATGATTGTTATACTATATAGTTGATATGTGATATATTGATATATGCAAAAAATTGTACTTAATTAATAAATTATATAGATGTTACAGCTGGAAGGGGCCATCTAAAAATGCGTTCTATTTTTATCTTATGATTTAATGTGATTCTATTCAAAGTCTAAAGTCAAATGAACGTACATATTAAAAATCTATTTAACAATACATACAATTTTTGTTTCATTCGAATGAAGAATGATTGCAAAAATACAGATCACGGTCTTTAAGCACGATTACATAGAATTTAGGAAAATTTCAGGAGGAGAGGTAGAAAATAATTATGATGTGGTTGGGCGAATTGGTATCAACAGTAAAATTAGGGCTTTTGATTTCATATTCGTCCCACATCAAACCAGTAAAAAACGACCAGGGAGATGGACAAAAGGTACTTGTGATCTGATATTTTGCTGGTTTACACTACCGCAGGTCGTTCAGCCAGACGAGACAACAGAGACAGCAAAGACGCATCGATATCATCGAATAAGAACTGCTAAACGTTTCTCGTTCGTATTAGCAAATAAGACCAGCCGTTCTTTTAATCATGCGTTGCTCTTTTGTGCTTCTGCTGCCTCGTCTCGCTGGATGAACTATGGTAACATCAACACCGAAGACTCGATTACCAAGGAATCAAGAAAATGTAAATGTCTGTAGAAGAAGGGAAGAAAACTAAAGGAAGGAATGCTCGTAAAACAACGCTACGAGCTACGACACCAAATACTTGAGGATGTAATAAATTAGATCGTTTCCCAGAACCCGACGCATCGACTGGTCATTATAACTTTCATGACTTAAATGTATTAATGACCAGATGATCATGGGGTCTTGTAAATATTTGGATTGTAGTAAAATTGATACTTCTAGCAAGAAACACTATCGAAATCATGACGGAATCACAGTTTTTATACTATTTTAAAGTATACATCGCAAATGTAATCCCGAAAATGTAAATTAAAATTGACACCAATGTATGACCACGTCCCATCCTTATCCCTTCCTGATGGAAAACGACCACCACCTCCCCGTGGTTTCCATCGGGCAATGATACCTCGTACAATACTAATCAACACAAATAATTGTTCGTTGATAGCTATTTGTAAAGAGATATCATTGGCCAAGAGTGGTCTCAGAGCTCCTTCTGTGAAAGCTCTCAGTGATTAGAAACGAACGTAATTCAAAAGTTAGCAGCTTTAGCTCATCACTACCCACGGAACATTAAAAAATGAAGCCGCAGAGATGCCAAATCATCCATCTCCTCACTGGCGCGATGTGCACGCTGTGCACTAGGGATTTAAGACGGAAGCTTAGAACAGCCTACGGTAGCCCAGTCAGTGCAGCCCCCTGTACAAGGGTAGCGCAGCCAGACAACTTTTAACGTTTGTTGATAACCACTGCAAAAGCACGCACAGAACAGAAGAACGTCGAGCGGCGTTCAAGGGGACCAAAAAAATCGATTATATTCAGGGGCGATGTATAAGGGGTTGCTCGATTATTAAAAAAGTTGTGCGCTAAACAATTTTGATTTTATATAGAGTCCGATGAAAGGGTCGGCGAAAGCTTAAGACTCAAGCTATAGTATTGATAGCTACGGAAAATGTGTTCGGCGATCGTAAAATGTTTCGCCGACCCGGCACAAATCTAATCGTACCGACTATGTGAAGATCTAACATCGCTGAGCACAGGTAGATCTACACATAGCCGAACCGTTCCGCGCCGCTCTTGGAACACATTTGACAAAACCATAGCTAATAAGACTTTTATGTATAAATTGCTGGGTGGAAAATCCTCCGAGGATTCCGACAGCGTCGTTTCGGTTCAAAATATATCGATGATCTAACGCGGCGCGGTCCACCCAACATGATCCGACACGGCTCGGCTGTAAGGAGATCTACTTTAAATCTAGCCAAGTGGCTCAACACCAGATCATTAAAAATCGACTGAAACTTGACGGAAATGAACCAGCGGCAACGCAGACAAGATCGGTTAGCCTTCTAAAAAAAGCAGCAATAACAATGTTCGTTCTTTGTTCTAAAACTATCAACGCCTGAGTAGATGATCCCGCGATAGCGTAACAAAAAAAAGGAAAGTTGCTTAGTTATCTAATCTTGAGCCGGAGGGAGGCCGAATCTCGCTCCAGATCCTCGACAACGGCTGATACGATCAGCTATTCGGGTGAAATTCTTCAAGTTTCGAAAAACCGTCGACGCGTGCGACTGCTGACTCGACGATGCGATTTTATTACCGAACTCCAACGACTACAATTCTTGCACCAACCACGTTTTGCCTTGCCAAGAACAATTCGCGTACTTCGAACGCTTCAAGGACGAATTTCTTCAAGCGAAGAAATCATTTTTTTATTACGAATAATCTGTTTCTTTCGCTTTGGAATAATTTTAATTTTAAGAACGAAACACATGAGTTCCAATGTTCTTGAAGAGGTTCAAAATCGCAGAATTGAGTGAAGAAGAATATCGCGAACCGTTATGGCAATGATGGATTTTAAAGTATATTAGATACTTCGTCATCTAACAACCGATCAACGGTGTAGATCAGTCTACTGGCACGTCTAGCCATCAGCATCGCCATCAGTTTTCGCCTCAGCAATTCACAGGGCAGACGCCTCGGCTTAACATCGGTCATCACCTCAATAATCTCAAGAGCAGATTCTCAGCATCACCATATGACCAAACATCGTGTCGGTAATGGAGCCAACATAATCGTAAGTCATACTTGTCACTTCGCTGTTCTTTCAAATCCGTTTTTAATCCTCTGTCGAACGTTAATCATCACAAGATTTTCTTTATATTCTTCTGATACTAATTGCAATAGTTCGTTTAATTAGCGTTCTATTGCACATCCAACTCATCGTATTGCGACCGAAAATGAATACAGACAAGTATGCATTGATGTTAAATACTTACGATGAGCGATATGTACGTGTGGCCAAATTACGAGTTGGATGTATGTCTGTTAACGTATCAATCATGGCAATGAGGAACTAATTGATTCTCCATCTGGTTCCATTGTGCCTGGCCGCAAAAATCGATCTCACCCTTCGTAATCCAGTGTCTACGATTCATTAATCTGTTCGTCCTTTCTTGAGCGCCGTGATTCGAATTATAATTTTCAATAACGACAACCATATGATAAAACTGTATGATTTTATTCACGTCGCAAGCTCCTTTCTCTTTAATTCCCCTCACTTTGTAATTTTTTTTCTACGAAGCTCGCGAAATAACTATAAGGAATGCTGTACTCAGAAGTGACACGAGGTCACGATAAAGTAGATATGAAAAATTAAAAGGGCAAAAATGCAGCAATTTCGCGGTAGACACTTTGTACGGATGAACGGAGAACTTTATCGCTAACCATTAACAACATAAACTCGCAACCGAGTTAATACCGCCACCGATAAGAAAATGATAATAACGAATTAATAACTACAGATAAGTGTGCCCATATTAAAAGCTGAATTTTAATGGAAACGAACACGCGGCTGGAATTTAGTGCACCCCAGAGATGTAGCCGCAATTTTATGCACATGCAGTCGCCTCGGATTATTTATTCACACCTTATATATGTATATATTCATTTGGAACAGAGCCAAAAAAGGTCCGCGAAGAAGGTACCCTTCCGAAATTAATTTATCCAATTACAATATTAATCTGAGTTAATCTGATGTATTATAATTCGATATGTTCAAATTATTTTTAAATTTATCAATTAATAATTATTGATTGACTATGAAGCAAAGAAATGGGTCGATAACATGAAATCAAAAGAAAAGCAATGTTTCCTTTAATGAAACATATATTTCCGCGAATCCTTTTTGCATCTCTTGAAAATCGCGTCGCTTCGTTTAAAAGCTCCGCGTATTATTTTTTCGCGCTGGATTTTACCACTGGTAATGCAAATGTTCTTAGATATACTGCGTGTTGCTCAACGCACGGGCGGGTAATCGAAATCATACGAGTTGTCGCGCCCCGGCGCGGCGGTGACGATAAAAGCGTGCCGTTAAACACTGGATTACAAATTAAGTGTGCGGACATTAGATCCTTGGCTAGTTGCCAATAATAAATATCCGGCGATCCCAGGGTGCGATTAACAATTTGAATCTCGTTTCTTGTTCCTTCGCAGACCTCGGATGGACGTAGGAAAAAAGAAACCCGAAGAGCGCAACTTAAAGTCGATCTGCGCAAGCACAGGTGCAAGGGACATAAATAGGAGAAGCTTGGACTGGTACGCGCACTTGTGCTTCAACTATCCTACTACCCGCGTCGTACTATCGCTCCGTGACGCGAATTTTTTTTGTTCATGCACAGCTATCCACTCCGTACGTTGTTCTGTTTGTTTTACAATTGGCCGAACGTCAGCCGATCTCGTTTGTCTACAGCTGCGTCTGGTGTTATCCTCATCGTTCTATTGGATTTCCGTAGCGTTTCCCGCTTCGAAAATCCAGCTCAGCTCAACCAGGTAAGCATAGTATCCTTTTGCCTTACGTTTATAACGCGATTAGAAATCAAATTTCTCAATTTCTAATGAAATAAAACGCTGATTTTTTAAAGAATAGATTTTTTTTTAATTAGACTAACTTTTTGAAATGATTCAACGATTAGACGTATTATGTATTACAATACATCGAAGTATACTATGAATATGAATATTGAAATGATTCACGAGCTTGTTTGTCTCATCTTTTCATATGCTTTGCTTTTTACTCAACTGCTTAGGTGCGAATCATTCGACTGAGGATCTATCGGTTCAGCCTGCGGGATTCTCGCAGGGTGACATCCTTTTCGTGTCATTGGATTTTCCTCGCGGTTGCCCCTTTGAGACGTTCCATCTCCCTTCAGCCCGGTTTACAGGTAAGGTTTTTACATTCCGTACTTAAACGAGAACATCGTGGACCATAATTGTACCATCGCTTTTGATCAAAGGAATTCAATCTTGAAATTTTTTATCGATACTTGCGGATAACAATGAGTGATAAAAATATGAGAGGAGTTTAGCACTGTCGAATGAGAAAGTATCATATACATGTACATTTATGACGGTACTTCCTATTAAACTAACTCGTTAGCGAGCTTGGAAAATGAAAGTGATTTTGAAATTACGGACACATTCCACTCAGTTCAAGAGTGGAATAGTTAATTAGCGACTGAGTTTATTAAAAACGAAATCGTATTGGTCACATTGCGGTGGTTGTTATTTCAAGGTTTCAATTATGGTCCTCGAGTTCGGGGATCACGCTGATTACGGCGGCGCGCAGGATGAAGTTAAAGCGCATTCGAAAATCCCGCATGCACGTAGAATAAACCTGAGGTTTTGAACGGGTTCTTGGAAGTAATTCATTTTTCCCAAGACATTCGGAAACTACGAAATTACCGAAATCGTAACTCAGCAGTTGATGAATGACGTGAATATTATTTATAATATTTTTCCTATAATAAGCATGTACATTTACTTTCAATGCACCCATTGCTTGTTTGTAATTAAAATAAACGGCAATCATTCATGAGGAAATTGTTTCATTTCATTTTTATGCGTCCTTATTCTCGTTTCACAAGGAAAGCTTAGTCTTGTTATATGAGATTAGAAACACGATAGCGACCCATGTCATCTTTAAACCGTTCGGACGAGGGTTAGAAAAAGCTAGGTAGGCGAATCTAGAAACACTTATCTAAGAAGTCTTAGCTGTTCGCAGAAAGCCCAATTATTTCGTCGAATCGCGAGCCTCGATCAAACGTTTAATCAATCCGCGGCGGGCCTCGTCTCCGGCACGAGACTGCGACACGTTCGGCCACCGTGGCGATAATCTTTCACCCAGATACAACGGTACGATAAAGCAACGCCACTTGGACGCTGTTTTTTATGCGGCTTATCAATTTAATCTCTCTTAATAATAGCCCTTTTCACCCCCTTTCACGGTTCCCTTTTCTCTCTTCGTTCGCTCGCCACAGTCACGATGGACAATATCGGTCGATGGCTCGACGTGTCACCCTGCGGGCTTTTCCTTCGACCCTTGCCATTGACCGTTTCATAACTAGTGAATCGAATCTCGGCAGCGCGCGGAATTAACGTGGGAATATACGTGAACCGAATCGACGACCGTTTGAATGCGTCGATGTTTTAATTACGAAATCTCTGCACATCCTCCCGGGTGGAAAAATAATAATTCCAACGGCCGTGGAAAACCTGCTCTCCCGTTCCACGAATGTCCACCCGAGGGACTCGGTCGGTTGTAAATCAGCTCTAACCGAGACGCGTACAACGGAGCCGCGATTTTGCCGCGTGAAAAATCCGTCCGAGCACCGAGTTAAAAGACGGACTGCTCTTTCGCAACGAGCAGACGAAACTTTACGAATTTTTCGCGAGATCCTACGAGATTTCCTGCAATCTTAAAATCGAGGGAAGGACGCGACGTTTCTTTGTTCCTTTCGTATTATGTAAATCCCAACGACCATCGTCCCGTTCTCGCTGATAATTTTTCATAAAAGAGAGCCGGAGATCGTTAGATCTTTATGCGTCCTGATGCATTAATCTTTTGTCCTGCAATAACGTGATATTACTTCGTCCTTCGTATTTGCTATTTCCATTGACTGTTACGGCACAAGTTAAAGTGAGAATTTTCAAGATAAATAGCTTCCAGAAATAATTCACTACTTAGAAGTAATAAACATTCTCCTCCATCTAACCCGAGGATAATTGTAACAGTGCATTCTAAGCGTTAATTCAGTAACTGCTGCATTAGAACTCAATTTTAGATTCTCCAATTTGCGAACCACTTAGCAAGATCGGTATTTCAGTAATATACCGCATGTGGCAAGTCCGAGCCCCGCGGATTACGAGGCGATCTCACGTATCGCGCCGATAGCTCAATTCATTTGCTTAGAACGTAGAAGAGTGTCTCTTGAACAGGATTACCCGCGTGTTTCCTGATAACTCGATGTATTAGCTAACCCCGGACGAAACACTTCATTATAAGCGAATGCTGTATTATCCATGGCCTGTTCCCTAAATCTGTTAGTACATTATTTAAACGGTTTTTCTCTCCCGTAGTACATCCCGCATTATCCTGCGTAATGGCGTGTATGCGCATAATACAAATTGCATAGAGCGTCTTTATAAAAATGCTTCTCTCAAGGAAAATTGCATCGGCGTATAATAAAATAAAAAGGAACGGGCACGTTTTCACAAACAGGATACTGTGAATACCGCACAGGTACTCGGCAAACCAACCATTTCCGAGGACGTTATTTACATTTTTTTACTCGAACGCAGCTCGGCGGTGGAATAATGATCGGTGAAACGAAGCAATTACTTTACGCAAATACGTTCGAAAATCGAGAGGGATCATAGAATCGTGTAGTGAGTGAAATTACTGCTCGGATGCGCTGCGACAGAGGGATTAATCGATTTTCAATTGCGTACCGCGTACGAAACATTAATGCAAGTAGTTGTTAAATTGTCCGATTTAAAACGAATTCGATTCGCGGGAAGATCGCGAAACGCGAGAGACTTCTTAAAAATACCCATTCCTTTCGATCATTCTTAATTCGCCCACGTACTATCTAAAAGGCTTTGGATCAACGATTTCCTCTTCCCATGTTGACAATATTGATCCGCAGTTAGCGTTTGGTAAACTCATTGAAAAACGAGCATGTAAAATTTCACGAAGACCTTTCTCGATTGTCCTTTTTACTCTCGAACATACTGGCAGTACGCTTAGTTGGCACATCACTCGCAGAATATTATATCCTTTAAAGAGAGCGCCTTCAATTATCGATTTTCCGAAGAGCTGCGCTGTAGCTGCTGGGGCGCTCAATCGGACGCACCGCGCTCCGTTGAGGAGACTCTTTTGCACATTTCATCCTTCGTTTGTATTCACATCCGTGTATCTTGTTTGGTTAAATTAGTAATACACACAGTGTTAGTCAATTAACTCGGAATGATAGAATCATAAGGATTTAAGCGAAAGAAGAGAGGCAACGGTGCGATAATAATATTGAAACATATTCGTTCTTCCGAGGGGTATTTATATTTGAATTCATGAAACACTCTCTTAATGTTGGTACAGATGGACTGATTGTATGTGTATTCACGATCGTGAGAATAATTGTATAATTGCCCTGCCCCTATGGGAATTGCATCCCGACTTCCGTAGGGAATGCGATTACAGTATTCATGGCGCGGAATAAACTATGCATATTCAGATTTGAGTTATTTGAAGGAATTTATATTATACATATAATTGACGAAACATCTATGCAGCGTTTAAATTATTAATAGCCTGGACAGGAGTTTTGTTTTTGTTCAAATCAAAAATAAAATCTACATGATTTTTCATCTGAATTGAGAAATGAGGAGTTGCGCCTAGTTTGAATATGGAAATTCAAATATTTCGCGGAGCATTTAACTGCTTTTTTACGAAGCTCGCGGCAGTTGGTCGGTTACTTCAAACTCATTTTTTTTCGATGCAAATCGGAGTTCAGGACACAGGAGCGTGTCAAGATCGTAGTGTTAAACAGAATTAATTGTTACTGGTATGTAGCTGTAGTTGTTAGATATAAAAAGTCCTGTAATTTCCTTCTAACTCCACTTGTTAAGAACATTTGACGATCGACGAAATAATTAATCAATTACTCTTGAAATATTCGAGATAGAAAAAAATTGTATACGGCCTTTTTTAGCGTCAATAATTAATTAATAAATAAAATTGTTTATTGCAAAGACTTTTTCTTCGTTTTTGGTTCTGCGATTTTATCATGCGCAAGAGTCAATTATTAGTACACCTTTTGACAGAGTGAACCTACTGTTCTTTTTTGTACTGTGGCTGAAGTTCCCTCTATTTACCAAAACGATTATGGTTGAGCGTCGTTTAGCTGCCGCGATCGGTACGACTGCACACTCGCAGTAATTGCATGTTCGAATATACAATTAAGGGATTTCATCTACGACACATTGTAGCTGGTGGACATTTTGTTAATTCTATTCGACTCGCTGTAACAGCCGAGGTTAACGAAAGGTCGGGCAGAAAATTACTCGGCCCGATGACTGGATGATGCTTATTAAATTAGACAACGTGCTCGATTACTATACTTCCTGCGTACAGCTTCCACGTAGTATTTCAGCATTTTTAATACCCCATAGATACCACTCGATACATTTTCATCTTATTGTCACATTAAATTCGTTATTTTCAAATTGCTACGTTTATGCATACGAAATCTCCCTTAAACGTAGCAAATGTACGATATCGAATATCTGTAATATTTATCAGCTACTCGTTTACCTTGCAAAATCATTCAATGTGTTCATAATCCTGAATAATAATTATCTGGATTATGAATATTAAAATCTGTAAATCCGTCGAGTGCTGCGTTTCATTTTTGAGTACTGGCTAATCGAAGATTACCAAACGTGTTCAATGTACAAATTTTATCATAATGGTCAATAATTATTTCGTAATAGCGCTTATGGAAATTACAATGCATACTATATTATCAGTCATGCTAGAATATGAATTACCATATAGTATATCTTTGATTCATAGTAATAAAAAATGTGAAAAGACATAATAATTGATTTTCATTAAAAATAAAAACTTTCGATATGCTTTCACGTAACATATAATCATTTTTACAAATATAAAATCGTTCCGGTAAAGCTCGGATAATCTCCGTCGCGGTAGACGTGTACGATGCTGTACCGGATAATAGGGATTGAAATGATTGACGGAAGGTTTTTTTCCTCCTGGTTGATAGCTAGCTTTTTTGTGAGAACGCGCAACATATGTTGAACGGAACGTTTGAGGTATCGAATAAACTTATTTTTAACAAATACTATCGAGCTCTAATGTTGCCAT